TCTCTCTCTCTCTCTCTCTCTCTCTCTCTCTCTCTCTCTCTCTCTCTCTCTCTCTCTCTCTCTCTCTCTCTCTCTCTCTCTCTCTCTCTCTCTCTTTTCTTAATTTTTTTTCTCCCCCTACCTTTTGCTTTTGTCTTTTGTCTTCGCGATAGATCATATCCTCTCCTCGAACATATCATGCGTATTCGCACAGCTATATTTTTCTTCAAAAGCATAATATCGACTGTTTCGCACGGTCCATGAGCAAAAAAAAAAGAAAATAATACACATCTTGCTTTTTCTACCTTTACATTCCTCTCTCGCTATTGTCTCAAATCCGACCTCAAACGATTGCTTTCTCGACTCTTTGATTTCTTTTGAAACGTCGAATTTTGAAATCGAATTAAGAAAAAGATAAGGCGGAATAGAAATATTCGCCCATAGTTCGAATATATAGGATATAGCTATCAAAAAAGAAAGAAAGAAGAAAGAAAGCGTAGCTCGTTCAATATCAGGACCGTCGAAACAGGCCACGAGAAAATATCGACTTGTAACGGTCGCACACTTGCAATCGTTTTCTCACGATCAGAGAGAATCGTGTGGCCAACCCGATCGAGTTAACTCGCACAACCTCGCTTTTAACGTTTAATTGAGATTCCAATGATACGAATCGCGCCGCGTCGCGGATATTATCTTTGATAAAAAAAAAAAAAAAGAAGAAAGAAAGAAAGAAAAAGAAGGGAAAGGAATGGAAACAAGCGAAAAACAGGCAAAGCCTGGGTGATTGTTGTAATTGTACGAATCCATACTACGATAGGAGATCGGCGGCGATTCATGGGAGATAAAAACTAGGCACGAAAAAAAAAAACGATACGCAAATCGATGCGATCACACACTTATATTCGCGAATGGAATAATCATGTAAAATAATAACGACAATAAATAGCTCGTAAGCCCGTCTAAGCTAGGCACACCTGTCGATAGTCTTAGATAGTCGAAATGAGAATGGGAGTGAGAAGAGTGTGCAATTCGGTTCCAATTGAAATCGAGGATCGCCGAAAAGGGTCTCTTCGCGTAGTTCGTCGCTGCGCGAACTTGTTCTCTGCTCTCGCTTTCAATCGCCACGGTATCGATATTGCATTTTCACACTCTCTCGGAAATACTTTTTTTTTCTTTCTTTTCTTCTCTCTCTCTCTCTCTCTCTCTCACTTTTCTTTTACTTCTATATATTGTTAATTTTGTTTCTCAACTCTTCGCTCGTAGGAGGGGCAATGGGTATTTTTACGCGTCGTTTTTCCGGTCATTAATGGAAACGAGTGGTGCTCTATAACGTTGTGATTAATAATAATAATAATTTTTTTTTTTAATTTTCCTCGTCCCTTTTTTAATAGAATAATCGTGCAATAAGTCGTGAGAATAAAAATTGCTTTTAATCGCGAAATAACCGGATATTATTTTCTATTCGTAATATCAAGAATTTTACTTAAATATATATGTATATACTTTTTTTTTAGAAAAATGATGATTACGATTGAAGTTATATTTTTAGAAGAATGACGATTACAAAATAATCTTAATAAAAAAAAAAAAGGAATAAGATATTTACGATACTTTATTACTCATCGATATTACAGTCACGTTTCGTACAAATGATCATGCATTCTTGATGGAGATGAACATTTGCCGATCATATATTCGCTGCTCTAGCCATGATATACGTGATGCGCAAATATTTATATTAGAAAACTACGCGGAAAAAAACTCGATAAGAGTTTCTTTGATTAATACTCGTCGACGTTAAAATATTATTTCAAATTTGAACAATTTTTAATCGATTGATTTATCGGTCTTACGAGAATCGGCCCATCGTCTACGAAAATGCCCATCGCGCCTCATTCTTTTTTTTCTATTCCAATTCTTTAACTTTCTTTCGGCATATGGGATCGTATATCGAGATCGATTTTGTTACTTGAACCGAATCATCGTGAAGATTGTATGGATCGTTTAAAAGTTGAATCGGCGCGATCACGATTTTCAAAGTTCTTCCACGTGTTTTTCGTGAACTTTGAAACTCGTATCGCGAATCGGATCGATACAATCGTTCCCCGTTGTATATCGGTCGTTTTATTATATACGTATATATATAACGTGTTGCGTTAATGGGAAGAGGAAAGAAAGAAAGGAAGAAAAGAAATGGAGAAGAGGAGAAGAGGAAGAAAATATACATTTCGTTGAGATGTTTAAAAAAAAAAAAAAAAAGAAAAAGAAAAAAAAGTTGATAGAAGTATAAATAATTAGATAAAAACGAAATTGCGATCGGACGGCGATGCCGATGACTCCTCTCGTTTGCTTGAGACGACACGATTGTCGACAAGTGAATTAACACGTGTATATTAGTTCTTAACGACATTATTGTATAATATGTAATTAAAATGAAGAAACGTACGCAGGTCTGGCGTTGACTAGTTCGCGTAACACCGGGCCTTAATATAACAGGATAAACGATCTTTCCGACATGCATGCGATTGTTAACAAAATCAGATGCGTCTCTATTAACATCGATGAAGCACGATGAGCTGAAATTATTATGCATATATTGAGAGAGAGAGAGAGAGAGAGAGAGTGAGCGAGAATGAGAGATAACGAAAGAAGAGAGAGAGAGAGAGAGAAGAAGAGAGCATGAATGGGAATGTGAGAACGTAAAGAAAAGAGTGTGCATTTCGTTTGAGAAAGAGAAAAAATGTATAATTATCACTAGTAATATTATTATCACTAATAATATAATAAATGTGCCATTTTTTCCATAATCTCACCGTTGTGTTGCTTGACTGCGGCTTCTTTCGTCTTTCGTTTTGCTTTTTTTTTTTTTCTTAATATATACATCTTTCCGCTTGTTTTTCCATTTACTTGCCAAACATTACTTTTTTTTCTTCTTTCTCACTCGAGCTTCCGTTTGTACATTTATACATACACTCCCAGTATTATTATATGCGACACAATTATTATATCTTGCTACTCGTTATCGTTTTATTCCTTTCTTACATAGATACGTCTCGTTTCAAACTTTTGATAAATCAATTATTGAGAGGCAATGAAATTCAAAGAAACGCGTATACATAGTGTAGATATATTTAGATACGTTCAATTATAATTTTAATAATTATAATCGGATAGGTGCAGCGTACGATAGAGAGAGAGAGAGAGAGAGAGAGTAGAGCGAGAATGAGAGATAACGAAGAAGAGAGAGAGAGAGAGAGAGAAAGAGAGCATGAATGGGAATGTGAGAACGTAAAGAAAAGAGTGTGCATTTCGTTTGAGAAAGAGAAAAAATGTATAATTATCACTAGTAATATTATTATCACTAATAATATAATAAATGTGCCATTTTTTCCATAATCTCACCGTTGTGTTGCTTGACTGCGGCTTCTTTCGTCTTTCGTTTTGCTTTTTTTTTTTTTCTTAATATATACATCTTTCCGCTTGTTTTTCCATTTACTTGCCAAACATACTTTTTTTTCTTCTTTCTCACTCGAGCTTCCGTTTGTACATTTATACATACACTCCCAGTATTATTATATGCGACACAATTATTATATCTTGCTACTCGTTATCGTTTTATTCCTTTCTTACATAGATACGTCTCGTTTCAAACTTTTGATAAATCAATTATTGAGAGGCAATGAAATTCAAAGAAACGCGTATACATAGTGTAGATATATTTAGATACGTTCAATTATAATTTTAATAATTATAATCGGATAGGTGCAGCGTACGATAGATATTATATTTTGATCAATTTTAATCGTATTATCCATCTTGTAAAATTTTATATATATATATATATATATAATGTCGTCGACCTGCACAACTTTGTAATACAAATTTTGAACAGAAGTTTCCAACAGGAATGCGTTTCAATGATTTTTCTTTCTTTCTTTTTTTTTTTTTTTTTTTATTATCATCGAAATCGAGAACAAAACACGCAAAATTCTCGAAGATGGATTATTCTTAAGAAGCGGAAATGATTTCATCGAATTAGATATTTCTTTATTGCTTGTTCTCGTTTTTTTTCTTTTTTTTTTCAAAATCATTTGTATCGATTTCATTACATCGTAGATTTATTACAAATAGATAAAAAAGAAAATTAAAAGATGCAATATATAATAAGTGGAAAAAAATACGAATGATATAAATATTAATTGGTAACCGGGTTATACAATCGCTTACCACATTAATTTTTATAATACGTTTAATAATATGCGTACTAATTATTCATATCTGCTCGCTCATATTGTTTCATCACAACCTCGATTCTTTCATCCTCTTTTATCGTCGCGAATCGGCCGGATGCTCGAAGAGCAAAGAAACGGATGCTTTTCAGAGGAATTAAATTCTAAATATTTTCGATATCGATCAACACGGTGCACAGCCAGTATTATTTATCGATCGTCTATTGATTGAACTGAGATCGTGATTGGAAAAATTAGAAAAAAAAGAAGAAGGAGAAGAAGATTTAGGTTTACTCTATATGGTAAGTGTTCTTTTCAATGTGCAATAACCGGCTATCTTGAATATCACGTAACTGAAGACCAAGATGGCGATATCGATCCAAAAATTGCGATCGGTCATCGACAATTCCGACAATATTTTGGTGGGCGTGCTGTAGTGGCAATAGACGACAGGGCAGAACAGTTTCTCCCGATTGTAGTCGTACATGGCGAGAACGAGGGCGTGCAGGGAATACTTGATATAGCTTACGTAACTGATGTAGTACATGAAGCGTGGCATGTGGTTAAAAAGGATCATGAATCCGGAGAAGGCAAGCATGCTGCACGCTAGGATGGCGCCGAGGAACGTCCCGTTCACGGGGTTAAGCATCGAGCCTATCACCAGCCCTATGCTCTCCGATATAAGGGTGATCAGAATGGCGGTAGCAAGAACATGAGAAATCGGGCCGTGTCGAGCGGTTGACGGCTTATAAAGTAGATGGGCAAAACGTAAACGACGGAGAATATTATTTGTATGGGTATGCTGCATATGAACGAGGCGACGTAATACGTCTTCAACTTGTACCAATTGTTGAACCGTTCCTTCTTCAACACGGGCATCTCCGAGGGGAAGAGGAGCACGGCGGGCATCATGCTCGTGTAGCACAGGTAAATAAGGACGACCTGCAACAGGCCGACGTTGTTGATGCTTCTGCTCCCGTCCTGGCCGGCGCCCAAGTACAGCAGGCCGAGAAGTATGCCTATCAAGAAGTGTAGGCCCAATTTCAGGTAAATGTTGGTCCAATCCCTGAACAAATGGATCGTGTAACGATTCATCAGGACGAACAGTTTCTCGTATTCGGAGGGTTGGCGGATGAACACGAGTTTCTTCATCCTTTTTCCTCGACACTCGTCGTCCTCCTTCCTGGAAATCGGCGCATCCCCATTTCCTTTCCAATACTTGTTGCCGTTTCTCTCTGCCAACGCGACCAATTGATCCGTGAAATTCCCGTACTCGTTGTTCAACACCTCGATCATGAAATCGGCCGGATTGTGATATTTCGGGCAATGGAGGCCAACGCTTGCGAAATAGGGGATCGTGTCCCTCGTTGCACCCTTGTACATGCATCTACCGTCCGCCAAGAGGTAGACGTAGTCGAACATCTCGTAGATGACCGCGCTTGGCTGGTGGATGGTGCAAACGATGGTCCTCCCGGTTTTGGCCAGGTTTCGCAACAGTCTGATGCATTGGGTGCAGGACTGGGAGTCGAGGCCGGTTGTCGGCTCGTCGAGGAACATGATGGGCGGATTGTCGATCAGCTCCAACGCGATGCTCAGCCTCTTCTTTTGCCCGCCGCTCAATCTCCCGCACCTCGTATGCTTCGATTTGCCCAGATCAAGATCTTGCAGTATCTCCTCGATCAGCATCTCCTTGAGCTTTTTGTTCAGATTCCTGCCGATTTTCAGGTTGCTCGCCATCCACATCGTTTCCCACACGGTGAACAGGGGATAAAATTGATCGTCCTGTTGGATGTAACAGCATTGCTTCTCGTACTCCTTCCGAGCCTGTTTGTTCCCGTTCTCCACGTATCTGATCTCGCCCGTGCAACACCTCTTGAAACCCGTCAAAGCGTTCAACAAGCTCGACTTGCCGGCCCCGGACGGGCCCATTATGGCCGACAATTGGCCGTACCTGAATCGCCCGTTGATCCTTTTCAATATTTCTTTCCGTTCCTTTCGCAACAGACCGCCGTGAACTTCGTAGACGATGTCGTTGAACTCGATATCTATCGAGTCAACCTCTGGCAGGCCTAGCATCACGCTCCTCTGACTCATCGCTGCTGACTTTTAATTGTAATACGACTATAATATCCGAGACGAGATGAGACGAGAGATAGCTTCTCTCTTGTTCCGCGCTGGGAACAAGAACTAGGGGGAGAGAAAACAAACGCGGTCGTTTCCTTGTCTTCTCAAATCCTCTTCTCGAACGGTCTCGAAATTGCGCGGGAAACAAGTATAGTTTCGAGCGGACGAGATCGAACCGGTTCGAACGGGTTTCGAAACAGTTCGAAATCGATTCCGACTTGAAAAACTTGAATTTGATTCCACCCGAAAGATGATGAATGAAATCGTAGGGAGAGGCTGCTACGGGAGAAAGAAGAATTATGCATTATTCAATTTCGAAATCGAGAATACACAAGTATCTTTTTCTGCTTCTTCCATATTTCTTCCATGAACATTTTGCAATTCGGGATCCAGATATTTCTTCTTCGTCTCTTTTCTAGGTTTTTTTTTCCCCCCCCTCCTTTCTCTCGGTTGTTCTCTCGTTCGATTGTTCTTCTTTAAATTTCGTAATAACAGAAATGTTTCGTAAGCACGTATTTTTGTAAACGATCTCGCAACATTTGAAATTTATTTCCCTCGATCCCCTTTTATTATTATTATTATTATTATCATCGTTCGCCTCGTTATCAACACGAGGAGAAAACGATTCAAGTCTTTATTTATACGGTTTATATTAATTATTCGTTCGTCTTATTCGTTGCACTTCTTTCCCTCCGCTCTATCATATAAATCTGTAACACAAAAAATGTTTCTCGGTCAATTTAATAAGATTAATTTCTGAGTAAAAGATGTTTTTTCTTTCTTTTTTTTTTTTTTCTATCATTATCCTTTCCTTCGCTTCGTAATTAGGTCTCGTCTCTGCGTAACGAGATAGAATATTAATTGTAGACAGAATTGTGTGTATTATAATCGTTTAATAATAACGAAACAAGTATATAATTTATTGCGTTTTCTCTTCCACCACGATTTTCCTGCTCGTACGTACAATGTATCGCCGACAGTGTTACAATCTCTATCTCTACCCATTTTATTACATTATATATAGTACACTCGTTCAAATCTTATCGGTTGTTCCGATAGTCGTTAAAAAGAATTTGTCAGATTTAAAATAGTTACGCATCGAACATTTGAAATTATATTGCATTACAATTATCCGAATTGAAACATGCTAGGATAGAAATTGAAAATACTTACTTTTTACTTGGTTCGTATCGGTGGTAATTGTGGTTTCCGTTGCAAAAGAAATTTGTCTCATAATTTTGAATTTGATTTTCGAATTCTTTGCGATCAACACGATGATTTGATACGATATGATACGCGAATGATGAAATATAGGGTAACGATAGGCGGATTACAATAATTTTTTTTTCACTCGAGAAAAGAGCTCTTTCGTTGTTTTGTATATTTCTCTTCTCGTTAAACTGTCCTCCTGTGATTTTTTGCACGTCTGTTGTTAAAAACAAACGAGAATGAAAGAAATGGGCCACGAATTCTGTGAATTTTATCCTATCCATTAATTAATTATAAAATAAATTGTTGCGAGGAAATATCTCGCGAGAAAGAATCGCTCGACATGGGGGAAAATGATTCGTTTTAAAAAAGGAATTTGAAAAACGGATACATAGATAAATTTTTGTTCCAATCTTATCGGAATCATTTTGTACAAATTGTTTCAAATTTATTCATATCTATCGAACAACATAATAAATCTCGATCTCGATCTTCGTTTCTATTCCAATCCTATGTCTTTATATTTGTATGACATATATCCTTGAATAATACCTAACATTAACATCGGTCAATTAATCTAGTATTACGTGAAATCTTTTATATATACGAATAGCAATGTCTTTTATCGATCTTTTTGAGAAGTTGTTAACAAAAATTATCGAATAAAAAGATACCGATCGATCGAATTGAAATAAAGAAATAAATTATTAATGTGTTTCATTAGCAATTTGCGTAGTTTAATTGATTCCTTTAAAACCGGATATCTATTTATAATACGAATAGTGAAGAATTTCATTTTAAAAGTGCCTCGAGAAAATTCCACTCTTCCTTCATAATTTTTATATAATAATTATTTGGGATGAAAGAAAGAAACTTGTAACGACGAGGAATGTGTACGACGGCGACGAGTGACGATGGAAAACAAATTTTTCCAAATTACAAAATTATAAATTATATTCAAATTATATATCGTGTTGCGTAATTGAAATTAACACGTGCAATAATAATATAATAACAGAATGAAAAAAGAAACATGTTTAGAAATTAATACCGTAGGAAAAATAATTTTCTCAAAAAAAAAAAAAAAAAAAAAAAGAAAAGAAAAAAAAAGTTACTAACCTACGCGTAAAAATTATCCTTCTCGATCGAGATTCATTTAAGAAAGAACCAATAAATAATGTTGTGATATAAGTAAGTATGTAAGTACATACAAGTAAAAACAATTTCAAGGCTATTCGAATCAATTAGTAATTATTTCAAATATATGAAATACATAGACAATAATAAATTCATTTTTTTCGTCGTTCGTTTTTTTTTTTTTCTAAAATTTTTACATTTTTCTACTTATTTTTTTTTTTTTTTTCCTTTTCTTCGATTAATTTTGACCGTACTTCGTCTCAAATTGTTGCAATCCTATTATTGTTGTTGTTATTATTGTTATTATTATTTTTTTTCTTTCAATCAATGCCACTTGATAGTAAATTTAACGTAATGATAGAAAAAAAAATTGTTTATTACGCGATGTATTGATTTATGTTCTCGAAAGTTTATTGACTTTTGAATCAATATCTATTTCAAATCCAAGAATATGTATGTACAATATATACACGTTACGTGTACATTTCAATAAACTTCGACAAATTCATTTCTTATGATGGAATTATTGCGGCCAAGTTTGAGATTGTTATAATGTATAGTTTTAATTATTTTTAATCATTTGTTTGAATATCATTATCATCAGGCTAAGTACACTTTGTCGTATTGTATTTCTAATGTACGTTTACATTTCAACGTATCTAATCTCCGAGAGAAGTTTCGAAAGATGGGATATAATACAATATGTTGATCTATCACTCACCAAAATTGAAACTCGAGTATCGTTTGCCAATCAATCAATATAAACTCATGATGCTCAATTTAACACCGATTAAATTGGAACTTTAGGAAGATAATTTTTAAATATAATCTATTGCTCAATTCGAGAAACTAGCGGCGAATGTATCGAAGCGCACCAGCTCAAAGACTGCACGTCAATGCTCATCGTGCACAAGAACTAAGAATAAGTTAGCCGATATGCCCTCCTCATAGCTAACCCTACTCGTTCACTGGAATTCTTCTGATCTTTATTTAAATTTTCTGGTTTGCCATGTAAGTTCTTGTCTCTTTCTTTTTTTTCTCTCTCTCTTTTTATCTTCCGCCTTTCAATGTGCTTCTCGGAAGTTAATTTCAAGGGCGTATATATTTCTTTCAAGAATGCGGCTCTTTATCATTTCGATTTTATCCGTTTCGATCCTTTGTCTCCTTGAAAGATTATTTCGACTTTAATGCAAGACGAAACGAGAGCGATCGATGATTGAAAATAATTAATAAGAAGGTGGATTATTTTTTTTTTGTTTTCTTTGTTTTTTGGTTTTGTTTTCCTTTTTTTGTTTTTTTTTGTTTTGTTTGTTTGTTTGTTTTTTTATGAAGAATATATAGAGGAAAGAGAATATCATAGATGATTAGGTAACGAGTGAAAAAAAAATGAATTTCATATATTACAAGATAGATATCTCATGCGTATCAAATACGTAATTAAAAAAGATGAGTTTTCCTATTAAACAATCTTTTGTAACAATAACAGATATATATATATATAATGTCTAAAATTCGAAACGATCTTTTCACTTTTGGTTTTAGAAAAAGCATGAAGATATAATTGTCGAAATTCGCGTTTTTTTCTCTTTTCTTCTCGTAAGTTTTTGATAAATTTTCTATAGATAGAAAAAAAATGGAGAATTTTAAGAATGTGAAAAAATTCCGTCAGATTTGAGTGCGCAATATTAGATAAGATAAAATTAATTTTTTATATACGTATTAATAATTATAGATACATTATTAATATTGATTTATTAATTTATATATTATTATTATTATTATTATATTATGTATTACTTAAATGTATAAATATATACAAATTATATTTATTTATTAATATTTATTAATACATGATAATGTACGTAATATTTTGAATTGGTTATTATTAAAATAAGAATTAAATAAGAATACGCTCATTAATGATTAAACATTTAATATATGTATATATACATTTACGTGAACTTTTTATTTTATATTTTATATATCGTTAAAAAATCGTACATAAATTTATAACATGTACAGTACAACGAAGATTGATATGGAAGATTTTATCTTTAATATCGATATAATTAGTAATTATTTAATATCGATGAATTTTTTAATATTTTTTATTATAATGATATTGAAACGAACTCGTAAGAGTTTAAAAATTATAGAATTTTTTTTTTAACTGGTAGCAACTATTTTAATATATTCTGATTTATTAAGTTAATAAAAAATGCAGGAAATGAATTGAATATCGTAATTATTTCACGAAACAAGTTTTTGCGATATAAAGATTGAATACGTAATATATGTATAAAGATTAAATCTTCTATATTTTTGATTTGATAAATACTTTTGAAAATTTTAAATATTTATTATATAACGCATAATATAATAAATATTACGTAATATATAATATATAATAATTACGTAATATTTATGTAACATGTATAATATATATTATATATTATATTTCTGTATTTTTTTACATATTAAATATATACTATTTTATATTTTAGATATTTGAATTCATTTTTTCGTTACAGTTATAAAATGTATTATATACATCTTAATACGTATACATTTGTACACGTATTATTTATTATATAGCACGATTATACTTGAAATATTTATTTATTTTATATTGAATAATTAGTAAATTACTTAATTTCGGAGAATTAGAAGAAGAGAAAGAAAAAAATTGAATGTGAATTTAATTTCAAAATATATATTTTTTTAAATTATATATTTTATCAATTTTAAATTCTATTTAAAGATATCTTTCATTTTTTTTAAGAATTCCGGAAGAAACAAGATATATTTTACTTGATCAGAGAAGGTTTTTTTGAACGCTTTTTGTTTATTTCACAGCTTATTTACGATTACTTCGTAATATAAATAATTATCATATGCTTTTTTAAATAAGTTTTTGATTTTTCTTTAAATATTTGAAAAATTGCACTGCCGTACTATCTTTGGATTTTTTTAGTAAATACAAAAGTGTATAATAACAGTGAAAATAAATATTTTTTTATAGAAATAAAGATTTATCGTAAAAACTAATTTTCATGAATATTTATTAAATCATTATTGAACATCATATAATTATAAATCGTGATTTTATGTACTTATGTAATTTTTTCGTTTGTAGACATATCACAGAAGAAAATATAAATATTTAAATATTCATTTTCTTAAAAAAAAACTTCTTCAAAAACTGTTAAATAGTTGTAATTTAAATTTATTATTAATATGATATATGTAATTTGTGTAGAATTTAATTCCATATAAACGGCAATATATTTTACTTGATCATAAAATTAGTTTAGTCTAAAGTTAAAAATGTCAATTTCATTATTACTAGTATTCTTGAGAAATTAATTACGCTCACAAAAATTTTTCCACATTTACATACATCGTTTATAAATATCTTAACGCTAAAGTTATAAAACTTTAAAAATAATAATTCTTAAGACTTTAAGAATAATAAATACCGTAGAAATATATCAACTTTTCATTGCATTAAATTATTAGAATTATAAATTAACAATAGAAATTTAAAAATAGATTTTTTAAAATCTACAAATCTATTTTTAGATTTAGCATGATCGGCAATGTATGATTGATTTTTAGCATGTCCGGCAATGTATGGTTGATAAATATTTTCGCAAAACTTTGTAATCACGTTAAATTGCCGTGACCTGAATGATTCAAGGTACAAGATGATTTGCGAGAAAAAACTCTATGAATATAATCTAACGGATAATTTTCACATTTCTTTTTCAATAGTTTGAAAAAATTCTTACAACATAATGATTTTTAATCATTTATTCTTTGAATATATATTATAAATTTATATTTTATTTAATTTAACGTTATACTCAATATATATACATATTATCTATTCATTATATTTCACTATGAATTTATTACATCATTTACACATAAAACAAATAAGTACATTTTGAAAAATTTTAACATACTTTTGAAAATTCAAAAAATTTAACTTCCAAGAATTTTAAAAATTCCAGGAATTTGACGTCATTTCCAAGAATTTCGAAAATTCCAGGAATTTGACGTCATTTCTAGGAATTTTCTCAAAACAAGTAAAAAAAATGTAAATAAACATTGAAAATCAAAATAAACAGACCATTGTTTGTAAACAAACGGAAATTTTAAGAATGAATCGCAAAATTTTTACAAATTTTCGGAAATTCCAAGAATTTGACGTCATTTCTAGGAATTTTCTCAAAACAAATAACAAAAAATGTAAATAAACATTGAAAATCAAAATAAACAGACCATTGTTTGTAAACAAACGGAAATTTTAAGACTGAATCGCAAAATTTTTTACAAATTTTCGGAAATTTTTGTAAATAAACATTGAAATTGTAAATAAACAAAGAAAAATGTAAATAAACAAACGTGTATTTATAAATAAAGTAAAATTGTGACAACAAAACAGGGAATATATATTTTTGAGTTTTCATTTATTTATGAAACAATAATTTTGAAATAGCAATATTCGTCGTAATGACAAAATCGTCACTTTAAGATTGGTGTCCAGGTATTTAAATAACAAGATACGATTTTTATAAAAAAATGAACATTTATTAAAATATTTACCAAAATACGTAATACAAAAGTATTTTTAAATATTTACAATTACAATTAAATATATTTCTTATAAAACTAAATATCATATGTTATAATATATTTTTATCATGTATATGTATAATTTTTATTATATATAATTCTCTCGTAATTTTATTTAAAAATTATATAAAGTAAAATATGATAAGACGTTCTTTAACACTAATAATCGCTAACATACATTCTTAAGATATCTCTATATTACGATCGAACTGTTCCAATTTGTCCTTGTTAGCCGTGTATAGCGTTGGGAGGAGAGAAGCGGTTACGTTGTCTAATGATATATACATTGCGTATAAGTTGAATAAAGTAGCGTAGAATCATGGCCGATCGTGATCGTATAATCAGTTCCATTTAAGCAATTTATTATAATATAGTTATTATAATATAATTATAATATAGTAAGCGAAGGTAAAATTAAAAACAGAAGAATTTGATGATGTGATTTGCCTGCAACATACAAAGATTGATTTATGAAATTATATATAAAATATATACATATATATATGTAAATATGTAAAATTCTTATCTTATCTATATCTATATATCTATAGATAAGAATATTCTAGAATATTCTATCTATATTCTATCTTCTATCTTACATAGAATATTCTATCTTACATAGAAATAATATAGAAAAATTATAAATATTTTTATACAAGATATATAGGGATAGAGAGTTAAGATTTTATTTGTAATAAATAGCTCAAAGAAGAAAAGCTAGAAATTGCCGCTATCCTATTATTAATTTTTACAAATATCTTGGATAAATGATAAATAAGTAAAGAGGGAGATATAATGAAAATTGTGAAAACAGTATCAAAGAATAATTGAAACATAGATAAGAAGCACAATATAAAAAGATAGGAATTAAATATTGGTGTCATCTTTTGATTATCAAAGACACTTGAATGATATTTTAAAGATGGCTCTCGTTTTCAATTCCTGTTTTCCTTTATTCTACCTTTGAAGAAATTGTCTTTGTAACTCGAAAGATGACACTGACTCTTTTTTCTTACGATATCTTTTTACCTTTTAAGAAATGCCTTTGAAAATTCATAAAGAAATTCGAAAGATGGCGCTGAAGATCAATTCTACTATCCTTTGTTCTCTTCCTACTATTTCTATTATTCTTGCCTGTTTTGTCATTGTTTGTAAACAAACGGAAATTTTAAGAATGAATCGCAAAATTTTTAGAAATTTTCGAAAATTTTTGTAAATAAACATTGAAATTGTAAATAAACAAAGAAAAATGTAAATAAACAAACGTGTATTTATAAATAAAGTAAAATTGTGACAACAAAACAGGGAATATATATTTTTGAGTTTTCATTTATTTATGAAACAATAATTTTGAAATAGCAATATTCGTCGTAATGACAAAATCGTCACTTTAAGATTGGTGTCCAGG